CGCCAACTGCTGGGCCCAACAATCATTATTTTTAACAATAATTATGTTATTTAACTTTATTTATTATTATTTTTGAATCTGACCAGAAAAAGACAAGAGAGAGAGAGGGAAAGCAAGAAAGCAAGCCACCAGATCCAGGACTCGAACCACCGTCGGCCACATGGGAGTTCAGCACCTCCAACCACCTAGCCACCTGCCAGCCCCAAGATCATTATTTTCTGCAACAAAATAAACTTATACTTTAATTCCATTTTCCAAGGATTTTTTTCTTTTTTAATTGACAGCGTATGTGCGCACCAGAGAAACACAAAGAGAGGGAAATTGAGACAGCCCCTTGCAGGGGGATGGCCATGCTGCAACCCCTTCCCCTGCATTCTCCTCTCGGCCTTGTGTGTTTTTCTAGCCGCCATGCCTGAGACTCAAGCCACACAGTGGGCCATGTGGGATCCAGCCGCCTTAACCACCACGCCCTGGGGGCCCTCCAAGAACTTGCTGACAGCCTGGCACACGCACCTGCGGTAGACAGGAGAACTGCATCCAGTCAACCTCCGTTCCTAGTCCCTGGTGTTTGTCACGTGGTCCATGAAGCCAATGAAGGGACAACTAGTCTGGCGACACTGCCACTGGTATCACAAGTTGCTGGACGCTTTCTTGGGGTCCACCCACACCACCGGGCAAAGTCCCTTTGGGAGCAGAAACTCCGGCCAGGAAACGGTTCTTACTAGCCCTGTGCACACCAAGACCCACTCAATCCACCCACCCCGATTGGGGTGAAAGAGAAGCTACCGCCGGGCACGGCTTTTGTTGCTGGTGCTACTGCAGGGACGGTTGGGAGGCCTGGCAGGAGAAAAGGAGTGACAACCGTGACCTCTGCCACAGGCCAAGTCCTCTCGCCGTGAGACCTGAGCCCGGCAATGCTAACCAACAAGGGGGGGGCTGTTGCTACTGCCCCTCTTCTTAATTTGCCAGAGGGCACGTGTATTCAGCAGAGAGAGACGGAGGGAGGGAGAGGAGAAAGCGCCCGGTGGGGTGTGGTCCCGCCACAATCCTCCTCCACCCCTCCGCCCTGTCGGGATCTGGGCATGCACACACAAGTTCCCAACGTGTTTTTCAAGCTGCTGCCTGGGGATTTGAACCACAGGGTTCCAAGTGGGCTCCAGCTTCTTTAACCATAGGCAATGGGGCTGGGCCTCCTCATTAAAAAAAAAATTAAAGTTTATTCATCGATTCAGAGAGGTCTCTGGGCACGACCCCAACACGGCCCGAGCCTTCCCACGGGACCAGCTGTGAAGCCGGGGTCTCCCTCTGCACCATCGGGATGTCACTCCTCCTTTTTTTTTTAATTATTTACTTAATTTTATTTATTCATTTATTTATTTTATTTTGGCCAGAGAGACACACACAGAGAGAGGGAAAGTGAGAAAGCCAGCCACCAGGTCCAGGACTGGAACCACGGTCAGCCATGTGGGAGTGCCCAGGACTGTAACCACCACGCCACCTGCTGGTCCCCCGTCACTCCTCTTAAAGGGGTGGAAAGTCAACCCCAGCGTGAGTGCCGGGCACCTGGGTTTGAACACAGACCGGCCCGATCCCAAAGCCTGTGTTTAAGACCCAGGCTACCCGGCTTCTGCACGCCATCAACGCCATCACCTCCTTCAACACGTGCGACAATTCCTTTTTTTTTAAAGAGAGATTTCTGCTATAGGGAGTGTATACTCGCCAGAGTCGGAAAGCGAGAAATCACCGCCTCCCTGGGAGGTTGACCGCACTGCAAGCCCTTCTCCTCCATTCTCCTCCGGGGGGGGGGGGGTGGGCACACACGCACATGTGCCTGGCATGAGTTTTAAGCTGCCGGGTCCAGGACTCGAACCGCAGTAGACTACGTGGGAGTCCAGTGACATAACCACTACACCCTCTGCTGGTCCCTCCCGTTCCCATCTTTGACAGAAGAGGAAGCTGACACTCAGAGAGGGAAAGTCCCTGGCCTGAAGCAGCAGTTGGCGCTCAGCCCCTTTCCTGAGTCCCATTCCAGGGCTTGTCCCCCAGCCTCAACCCTGCCGGTCCTTATCTCCAGGAAGGGGACCCCAGGGGACCAGCTCAAGCTCTCCAAGCTCCTCAATTCCCGACCCCACGTGCTCCCGGAGTCGCCTTAGCTCTCGTCCAGCAGTCTCTATGGAGTCCCTGTTCCTCACCCCTAGTGGTGGCTTGGGCCACAGACCACCAGTCTAAAAGCAGCCCACCCTCCCCTGATTAGACTAGACTGCAGCCAGACTGGGGGGGACTACCCTGCTGCTGCCACCCCCTCTCCTCACAGGACTCCTCCACCTCTCCCCGCCTCCTGGCCCTCGTCCCCTGAGCCTATCACCACGTGCAGAAACTAGGCGGTCACTGCCCACCTGGCCCCTGGGCTTCGGGGCTCTCAAAGGCCACACCCCAAGCTTCCTCATCCCTGGGCTCAGTGTGGCACAGGACTGAGAGGGGAGCATGCAGGGCGTGTGCTGGCCCAACCAGTCGACCAACACACAAGACCCAGAGCCACGCTGTGCCCTCCTGACCCGGCGTGCCGCTCCGCCACAGGGCACCCTCTGCCCGCCCCCCGGTCTGCCAGAGCCTTCTCCCCTCAGCATCTCCTGCCCCGTGCCCCCACGCTCACACCCTGTTCACACTGTTTAAGAGCAGCCCTGTCCCTTGGCAGCCAGGCCCCAGCAGCCCCAGCGGCCTCCCCTCCCTGGCGGCACATTCCAATCTCTGATCCCCAGTGACCCACCGGGAGCAGGGCACTGCTGAGCCCCAAACCCCCCACCCCGGGAAACGGGACGAGCCAGTTTCTCCTCCCCCCACACCCCGCAGCCTGGGGGGCAGCTCTCCATCTCTTCTGACAGCCCCAACCCAGAGGTGGGCAGGCCCCAGCTGAGGCTGGGGGGCCCAGGGGACCCCTCACCTGGCCCCTCTCGGGAAGGCCCTGAGTGCCCCGTGCGCACCTTGCCCTTGGCCGGCAGCGGAGGACGGAGAGGGAGGAAGGAGATGGGCCTTCAGGCCTAGACGTGCTCCCCTGCTGGGGAGGACAGACCCTGACCGAACTGCCACAGATAATTCCTGATAAAGGCTGGGCTGGGGGACAGACAAAGGGAGGTGACTCATCCTGCTTTGGAGGACGGAGGAGGAGGAGACAGAGAGGCAGGGAGGTGAAGGGCACCCCAGGTGGAGGGAACAGAGCAGGCCAACACTCAGAGGCAGGGCTGCACTGGGCTGCCCCAGCAGGGAGGCCGGCTGCACCAGGAGGGGCTGAGCAGGACACCAGACAAGGCCCTGGGCAGGTGGGGAGGATCAGTCTGAGCTCCCGAGGTGCTGCGGCAAGTTAGGGAAGGCCTCCTGACAGCGTAGCCAGAGCCTCGTGGGGGCGGCATGGAGGCAGGGAGGCCAGCCAAGAGGCCCTGGCAGTAGCCTGGCCTCTTCCTCCCCTCCTGGCTGTGGCCACAACACACAAGCCAGGTCCACTCCAGCTTCCAAAGACTTGCTCCTTGCATCCTGTCCACCACCCAGCCCTTTGGTCCCTGCTTGTTCATGCCTGAAGCACCCCTCCAAAGCCTCCTCTTCCATGAAGCCCTCTAAACCTTTTCCACCAAGGCCTGTGGTACAATCTGGGCCTTAATGACCCACTGAGTTGTGACCTCCTCAGGGGCAGGGGCAGGTAAGTCCTATTGCCTGGACCCCAGCGTTAAGCACAACACTTTGAAAATGGGGGGACAGGGCCTCGGACGATGGCTGCTCCCCTGGGCTCAGTGCCCTGGGCCTCTCCCCAGAGAGCGGGTCTGCACACACAGCGCCGGCACCTGCCTGCACCCGCACCGGCACCCCCAGCAACCTGTGCGGCCACACAGCGCAAGGGGAAGGAAAAAGCCAGGAACCCGCCATGGCAGAGCGGTACAAACACGGGCTGCCATGGAGCGGCACAGCAGTAACACGGCGACGGGGACAGCCATGGCAGGCT